GGCGGGGGCGGGAGGTTAAAGGTGCACCTGCGGTGCGATTTTTTGTGTTTTCTTTTTTTCTCTTCGTTTTGTGTGTGAGAGAGAGACAGGGACGGGGAAGGAAGGGCGGTTAGGGGAAAGTCAGCAGTGGGACGAGAGAGGGAGAGAGAGAGAGAGAGAGAGAGAGAGAGAGAGAGAGAGAGAGAGAGAGAGAGAGAGAGAGAGAGAGAGATGGGGGAAGGGATGAGGATTAGGAAGAAGTCGGTGACTGGGGGGGAGGTTAATCACTTGTATTAAACTAGTATTTTCAATTTCGACTTATCCACGCTTCCCTAAGATATCATACACTATTGATGAATAATATAGAATATAAATTCTGAGCTTTTTTTTTCCTTTCCTTTCCATCAACAGACCATCACGGTTCGCCAATCCCACTGACATACGCCCACAGTGTTTAGCACTGTTTACCCAATGGAATATCAATACCATCAGCTAGAGTTATCTTGGGAGGATGACTCCTCAGAACTCCCAGTTGATCGTCTTTGTGATCTTCAGGCAGCGGAAGAATAGTGCTTGGCCACTCATCTCCTGAAGATGGCCCAGGATCCATGTGGTCATTCCATATAACCGGCTTTCCGTCGTTCCTCTGGTACTGTAGCTCCTCTGATTCCGATGGAGACCAGACGAGATCTCCACCCTTGAAGCTTACGTCAGCTTGTTCTTCTTCCCACTGTTGCCCACCTGCCTGCAGCGGCGGATGGCTCTCTTTATGGATCTGCAGTAGAGAATGATGCCCCCAATCATCTGACTGAGCATCAGGATCACAGATTTGCCCATCCATTTGTTCTTCTCCACTTCCCCACGAAAGCGACGTTGAGAAGGGAATTGAACAGGAGACATGCCCCCACTCCTGCTGGTTTGAGTGCTCAGATCCAATTATGGTGGCAGGGTTAGTGGAGCCAGTCACCATGTCATTTAACATGTAAGATGTAGAAGGCACACGACCTTCCAGATGTGGATGTTGTTCTTGTGCAGGTTTTGGGGACAGTGCCAAATAGTGAAAATATCCAATATCGGCATCTGAGTCCACATCAGATATGTTGGTCTCATCAAAAGGATCTCCTCGAGCATCCCCTGCAGGTAAAGGGGCCCCTGAAAAATCTGGGGTCTGAGGCATTGTCAATCCCTGGGATGTTGACGGTGTCAGATCTGTAGCTTCCTCAGTCACAGTTCCAGGAATGGACACATTGATCGTTGCCACTGCCCTTTCTGCTGCCTGTCACACACACACACACACACACACACACACACACACACACACACACACACACACACACAGGGACATAAAGCAATATGTAAAGCCCATGGCCAGCCGTCCAATTTTCCAAACCCAATACATCCACCCACAGCCACACCAACAGGATTAATTTGGTCACAACTGCAGACAACTTTCCAAGCAAAATCTGCAGGCAATAGTGAAAGCGGACCCTGAAGTAATTGACCAACCTAAGAGGACAAGAAATTAGGAGGCCAATCCAATTAACTTCTACTTTCTTTGTTTTTCATAGAATGTGTGGTGCTTTTTTAGCTAAGTTTCCCTGTGCATGTTTCAAAACTCTCCATTCAGGCGATATAGCAGCGAAGCTTCTGGCGCTTGAGATAGGATCACCCAACCAGGTTCACCATACTCATGGATTGACTTGACTGCCCTCTCGCAAGGAGTGAGGGATGTGAATAGAGAAGTGAAACCTCTAGGTCACGTCATAAGGAGTACGGTATGAGAGTAGAGAATTGAAACCTTGAGACTCATTGGTGATCTTTTGTCGGCTATGCTTCACAGGGGGCATAGAAAGGAGCAATATAGGCTGGAGGAGCCTCCCAAACCCAACAGGGAATCCAGAAGGACCATCTTTCGGCTGCCTCTAAGCCCGCTTATTGCCTATTTTACTTGTAGGCTGTTGTAGCGTATTAGGTTACCCTGAAACTATTGGCTGTTGCACTTGATAACTGCTGACCATTTTGGATGTTGGTGGGAGGAGCCTCCCAAACCCAACAGGGAATTCAGAAAGGACCATCGTTTGGCTGCCTCTGGGCCGTTGATTGCCCTAATGACAGATGGATGGCTGCTCCTGTCAACAAGCAAAGAGGCAGTGTCGGAAGGCTGCCATTTTTCTGAACTGCAGCAAGGAAAGGCATATACGACTAGAGGGCTGCCTCAGCCCCATGGAATGCAACAACAAATGCTGTGGCACATCTTCGAACTTGGGATACATGCCATGCCATCAAATAAATGCGAACAAAGAATTGAAGTCGCACGATAATGAAAGCCCTCTTCTTGACTCCAATCACCAATGTCAATAATATAGCTCTGCTACATTGGCACTCACCGCCCAGACTACAGACAGATAGCCCCTATGACCTGGACTCCTATCTGCAACCGGTCCGTTATGAAGCGAATGCATGAAGACCCCAATTGCACAACCCGCTTCCATGCTGCGCTAGGTAAGTGCCTCGGCACAGCGCATTCTCCCCTGTGGACTCCACCGCCTTCCTCCTCTGGCTATGGCCGCCAGCAGTCCACTATGGCTGCTGCGCCCTCTTGCTTTGCTGTGCCCAGCATTTTCCTCGTGCCCTGCCGGCGTCCTTCTTCCCTCTGGTCTGGCGCTCATCCACACGAGTGAGCGCTCACAGCGCTGCCATGTCCAGCCAGCCAAAATGTCCCCAGTGAGCAAGGCTCACTTCCTTTTGTGCTGGCTGGCTCATAGACCAGGGCCCCTTCCAGAATCTGCGTGGGATTAACTGTAAGGCCCTGGGCCTCAGCATCTCTGGCTGGGCCTCAGCATCTTCAACCAACTGAAGGTTGAGCCCTAGATGCTGCGTGCAGCAACCAACCCACGGGCCCCTGTAACACACTTTCCTCTTGGTATGGTCATATAGTCCTATAAATTCCTATAACCGGTGTATAGTCCTACAGATCATGGCATGCGCACTGAAGCAACACCAAGGCCAAAAATTGCAGACCCGCCTTCTCGTAGGCCGGGTAGGGCCTTTCTCCAGCATGCCGAGGGCTCATTTCTTCGCACAATGAAGAGAACTAATCAGTCTGGATTCTGGATAGCTTACTAATCAGTCTGTGCAGTGACCCCAGGACCAACGGGAACTCTGTCCTCAACTAATCAAAGCAAAACTGTAAGTACTCAAAATACTAAAATAGTAAATATATAACAAGCCGAAATTGACAAACTTCACAAGCAAGCATACAGTTGTTATGTACCTCCTTCCTCACACTTGAAGCAATTCCCTCCCCCCCCCTTAGCTGACGACTGTCGTCGTATCCAAGAGCGTGATTTACGATGAATGGACCCAACCCAGTGCACAGACAAGCGAGCTGGCGGCCAACCCGCTCAGGAATTATTTATAGCCACAGCAGGAATGAACTTCCCTTCAATCACCATGAGCGTTTCATTTGAGTCATAACAGGGACCATTTTCCCCTAAGAATTATTTTATGCCGCTCTTCAACCGACTTCCCTCAAGAATTACTTAAAAGTCGCAACAGGACAACGGGGCATCCAACTGGAAGTCTCCGTAGTGCTTGATGAACCTTGGCATGAGCAACCCATGCATGTGTGCACTACTCCCGTGTCATGTGCTTCGCATCATCTCTGGGTGCTTCCCATGCATCGCCTTTGTCCCACCCAATGCACCCAACAAAAGTTGACTCTGAAGGCAGCGCACATTTGCACCTCACAATAAGACGACACTCAAGTAAAACGCTCTTCCTCACTGCAAGAAGCATAATGGAGGGTAGATAAGGTTATGGATGCTTGATGCTGCCCCAACCACATATTCTCTCAGTTACTTGATGCTGCTCCAACCACAGATTATCTCACCAACTGTTTATGATGCATCCGTTTGTTGACCGGTCAATGCAAGGAACCACCAACAATACAATGGCAGTGCCTCCTCAACCAATGGCAATCACCAATATACTCTCACAACATTGCCGTGCTATGATCATGGTTATCGTACAACTAAAAAAAAAACGACGCCATTTAATTGCAACTCACATGCAAGAGATTGTAATGAGAATTAGACAAGGGGAGGAGAAGAAAAAGAATGGAAGAAGAAGAAGAAGATGATGAACAGAAGC